TTGACCCCTGCAGGAGCAGATTTTTGCTCTTAAGTAGTTAGGAATGTTCTTGGATCAGCACCTCCCCTCCCAGTGATTGTTGTGTGTCCACAACCTCAACTGGAGGTGGGAAATGTCATGGATGAGGTGGACAAACAAGGAACTGGAAAAGAGGTATAAAAAATCCACCTTGTGCTTTGAAACTTTAAAATAAGAGGCTTTTTTTGCCCTTCTGGAACATCTTCCACTTCCTCTTCCATGACCATTTCCATGAGTTCTCCCTGTTGTGCTGTAAATTCCATCCTGAGGGACTCAGTCCTGATCCTTTTGGAGTAACATGGTCAGTCCTCTGGTTTTTGGTGGGTGTTTTTGGAGTCCTTCCTGTGGAGAACCACTCAAATTTGTTTGGATGTTTTTGGAATCCTTCCTAAGGAGAACCACTCTCCAATTGGTTTGGATATTTTTGGAATCCTTCCTGTGGAGAACCACTCTCCAGTTGGTTTGGATATTTTTGGAGTCCTTCCTAGGGAGAACCACTCTCCAGTTGGTTTGGATGCTTTTGGAATCCTTTCCATGGAGAACCACTCTCCAGTTGGTTTGGATATTTTTGGAGTCCTTCCTAGGGAGAACCACTCTCCAGTTGGTTTGGATACTTTTGGAATCCTTTCCATGGAGAACCCTTCTCACATCAGGCACTGCTGGGGCTTGAGTGGATGTCTGGGACACGTTCTCTCATTGCTGGTATCGAGAAAGAATTCCTTGGAAATCTGTTGGAATGAGGATGTAAAAGTAGAGCTGGAGTGCCCGATTTCCTTGGAAAAGGAAGTTCCTCTCAGAATTTAATCATGTTACCAGACATCTGCCTGCATGTGGCCTGGTCCAGTGTGGTGGCTGCTGGAGGACTCTTCCCAGAAGGAATTCCGGTGGTAAATTTGTAGGAGAACACAACGGGACGACTTGGAAGAGAAGGAGACAGGGAAGGATTTTCCCTGTGGAACAGCAGGTGAGGAAATCACATCCTCTTCTAGAATTCCAGAGGATTTGGGCTGGAAGGGGCCTTAAAAACCATCTAATTCCAACCCCCTTCCATGCTCATCTAAAATTAGATGAATTATAGACTTTTTAGACCTTTGATCAGACCTCCCATAACTCCATCTAATTTTTTCCGCGAGCGCATCCTGGTTTATAAATCCCTTTTCCTGAAACCATTCCCTGATGAAGACATGACTTCCTGGCTGGCTGTTCATTAGTGCAGATCAAGCTTTTAATCCGGTAAAGCAGATCTTAATATATTGTTTCCTTCCTGCTGCACTTACGAGCCGGGCGACCGCGAAGTCATCGGACGACCGTCGTCGGCTCGGGGTGGGAATTCTTCCCAGCCTCTGGAAATGGGAAAGGCTCGACTCTTTCACACGAGCAGGGTTTGAAAGTCAAGCTTTTATTAATATTTCTCTCCCTACATCAGCAGATAAACCGAATTCCCCGGGTCAAAGGAGCCCCTGAGGGCGGGTGAAGGACCCCGGCGTGACAAATGGAAGCCGCGGTGATTAATGCGCTCCTGGAAGGCGCTCAAATTCCACGGGGATGAGGACACTTGGGAGAGGTCTTCCTAGGAAAAAGGGGATTTTTTTTTTTCATCCAGTCCAACTCTATCCATGTGTCCGTGTGCTGCAGCCCTGTTGCTTCATCAGAAGCTGCTTCAAACTTGTCTTCGTGATGTAGAAGAGACTCCAGAAGTTGTGGTTTCCCTACCTGAGATGGATTTGGTGCATTCCATGAATCCCCCTGCTGGTCCCAGCTAAGCCTCCCTGAGTCATCTGCTGAGGAGCCAGCCCTGACCTTCCTCTGGACAGGGATGAGCCCCCCGAGACTTCCCAGTTGGATCTGGAGGAGATGACACTCCAGCTGTGGGCTCCTCAGTGCCCGCTCAAGTTCCTGTGACATGACGTGTGGATGGAACTGTCATTTTAAAAGATTGTGTGAATTTTGGCCTGAAGAGACTTTTTTTGGGGGGTCTGTCAGGGCAAAAGTTTTTATGAGCAGCAGAAAGGTGTTTTACTAGGGAACAGAACAGAGCTGGAGAAGGTTCTGGAGCAGCAGGAGCAGCTGAGGGAGCTGGGGGGGCTCAGCCTGGAGAAAAGGA